GCCCCAACAGCTGCACAGCAACAGCTCTTCTGATTTTGACAGAGAGGGGCATAGATGGGGTGTTGGTGGCTTAGTGGATAGAGCAGGCGCCCCATGTACAAGGCTGTTGCCACAGCGGCCCGGGCTCGACTCCCTCTCTCTCTCTCTCCCCCTTTCACACTTGTCTGTCCTATCAAATAAAGGCTAAAATGCCCAAAAACATATCTTTAAAAAAAAAGAGAGGGGCATAGATATAGACAGCGCAGGCAGCGTGGTTGCATTGGGGCCCATGGGGTGGAGGGGCCCGATTGCCACCTATAGAAATATGCTCGTGAGCAAAGAAGAACTCATATTAAATAAAAAATGGTGCAGTTTTCTATAAAAGCCCTCAAAAAGGCAAACCCATCTCCATCATAGTTTTCTGTTTTTGCAAAATAGTATCAATCTATAACTAACCATATGTTTATTCTACATAAACTAAATAAAAAACTAATTTAACTATAAAAAATATTTTGTCATATACAGATATTTAATGATGATTGCTGGGTAATATGCATGTTAATGTTGTCAATATCAAGTCTCTGTATAATCATGTAACAAGACAATACGATTTACATTAGCTAGTTTTGGTGCAAAATCTCTCAAGACTGACAAGCTGGGCACATCTGCAAGCAGATATAATATAAAAGTGGCAGTAAGATGCACTGTTGGTAAAATATATATACACCTAAAACTCTATGTGTGTGTGTGCTTCATAACTAGTAAGTAGTGCACATTAGGGCCCGTTTGACTCAGGGTTCTTAGCTTTATGTGTGTTGCTCTATACTGTATTGGTATGTATTTTATGTCTTTTTATGTCTTTTATGTATTTTTAACTTGTGTTTTATTGTGAGCCACGTCAAAGACGAATTTCCACTGCTCTGCAATGAACAATAAAGTTCTTTCTGATTCTGATAATAGCGTGCATGCGGGCCCATCGTAACTACATTACACCACTGGTGGAGTTGTTGTAAATAACTCTTTGGCTCTGCCAGTAGGACACAAGCCCCTCTGTGCAGAGTTTGCATGTTCAGCATGGGTTTTCTCTGGGTACTCCAGCTTCCTCCCACAACCCAAAGACATGCAGGTTAATTGGTGACTCTAAATTGCCCGTAGGTGTGAATGTGAGTGTCAATGGTTGTCTGTCTCTATGTGTTAAGGCTGGTTCACGTTCCACGATTTTTACCCCGAATTTGCGTAGCTGACACTATCGTAATCTTTTGAGTGTTCATACCTGGCGAGGTGTGTTTCTGTCATCAGGAGTATCACCAACTGCGTTACGACCTGTGTGTGCGCACCGCAAGATTTCTCCACCGAGCCCTCGCTGACAGAGCCCCAGATAACACGGTGACGTCACCAAACTACGTTTTTTAACTTGGAGATGACACATTGTTAAGGCATTGATATTCTTCCCAGTGCTGAATCAGATCTGCCTCCAGGGCCTGGGTCCGAACACTACTCACTCCCCGTGATCCTGTGGACGCCGCCATTGTTGTTGTTGCTTGCCGGCTTGTCAGTGTTGCCAGATCTTGGGAGAGAAACAAGCAACCATGGCTATGGAAACAAGCCCTAAAGAAGCTGTTCACACATGAGGACTTGTCGTGGCACACGACTCACCTCTGACCCAAGGTGGCTCTCAAGATCCTTTGCGGCGTCAAAATCATGGTGAAAATCATGTAATGTGAACTAGGCTTTAGCCCTGCAACAGTCCGGTGACCTGTCCAGGGTGTACCCCTCGGCCTGCCCAGTGTCAGCTGCGATAGGCTCCAGTCCCTCCGTGACCCCTAACAGGATAAGCGGTTACAGAAAATGAATGAATGAATGAATGAACTACCAGTGGCAGTAGCCTGCATATTAGATTTTTGGGGAACTTGGTGAATTGTAGCATCTACTAAAAGCCTGCATGTGCAGGTTTTCATCTGTACTTTATGTATTGAATTAACTGCATTTTCTCAAAAAAGTTGAAAAAAAACCCCCCTTATGTCAAATTTCCAGGAGATTAAACACCTTAGACGCTTCAGCAGAACCACTCTGTGCAAGTCAAAAAAGTTGTATTTTGATTTGGGGCATGTAAAACATACATCTTATCAGATCACTTCATTTAGGGTTCATGTAAACAGTTAAGCTGGCATCTCCAATCTAAGAGATGGCGTCTATGTTGCCACAGCTACTGTCTGGTAGCACAGGTTTTAAATAGGTCTTGGTAGAGGCACGATAATACCAAACCAGGCAACCTCACAGCGACTCCTTAATAGAAATGGTTCAAGTTTCAAAAGCCACACCATGTAACTCAAAACAACAAATTTTTACAATTCTGTTTGCCTCCTACAAAATGTCTTTGCTAATGCAAATCAGTTTTACATAAATGTCATTTTCAGGAGACAGAGTTGAAGAGACTTGGCTGCAGGAGAGTGCAGTCAACTCTGCCATGCTTCACTAACATCATCTGTCGTACTCTGATGTCTTTCTGTTGCCAGAGACTCTTAACAGTGCTTTTGTACTGCATTGTGAAACTAAATTCCAAAAAACTAAATAGATCATTTTCAGTGTCAAAACTGCAGATAATAATAATAACATCTGCCAAATGAATTCAGTTTAACATACGTACTTTATAGTATGAGGCAGGTCAATCATGGCAGTAGGGTAAAGCTAACAGTGTGAACATTGGATTTTAAGTGTGTTATATTGTGGTCCTTACCAAAGTTTCATGTCATTGATATACACAGAATACCTCTCTTATTGTCTTTGACACATTGGAAGTCACCAAGGACTCTGGATCACCGAGTTGTTAAAATGCGTCAGACTGAGCAGACTGTCTACAACCAGAGAGCTGATTTGTGACTTTAGGATGCAAGAGTGTATCTTGAGTGCCAGATTGACGCAGAAGGCTGTGCCACCTCCTGGCTATGACACAGAGGGCATTAATTACCATGTCTTTGAGGGGACAATCTAATCGCTGGGACACATGGCACATAAACCTGAGCATCCCGGGAGGGATCTGCTGCGACACTTCCTTACAATTAAAGGCAGGACAGCTCTGCGGAAAGTAACAGTAAATGAGAAGCCATGTCTTGGAGATGTTATGAGGTCAATAGCTTCACGGTGTGGCATTCAGTCAGTGTTTGAATCCTACAGTTTAATTTGCATAAGAGCTAGAGGTCTTCACGGGTCCAAAATGGAATCCAAAACAGAGCCTATACATGCATAAATACATTTTTAAGAAGTGTGAGTGAGGATTATTAGACGTGGTAGAAAATACTCCAAATCGTAGTCATAGAGGGAAAACAGTGTCTGCAGAAGCTTGATGCTTTATCAGTCATCAAACAGCTGTGTCCAAAAACAGCAGCAGTATAATAATAATAATAATAATAATAATAATAATAATGATAATAATGATAATAATAATAACATCCAAAGACCAAATGTAAAATCATAAATATTAATTAAAAAATAATTTATTTATGTGCTTCAAATACTAATTACTAGGAATTATTGTTCCAAAGCCAACTAGGAAATAAAAAAAACAATTTTTTAACGTATTTAATATCTGTAAATCAAATTCCAAAAAGCTAATTGTTATTTAATGACATAAACCAGTGAAGACCTTTTAATATGAGAGGATGAATAAAGCCATGACACCCAAATATGTGAACTAAACATGCACCATTGTTGCTCCTCATGTAATAATGAAGCCAATAATTCACAAATTTATTCAGAAAAACAGATAAAGAAAATGTACTTGTATAACTCATAAGAAATAATGGAGATGTGAAATAGAACACCCTGATAAGTTATTGACAGCTTGAGAATAGGGGCAAATTGTGTTTTAAAATGTGTTTATGAACACGTCTAGATTAAGGACAAGGAAGTGCATATAATATACAGTAACATTTATAATCTACCAGTTTTGTGTCAGTTACAGAGGAGTATGACTCAGCCTGTAAGAACAGTCGTCTGTGGCTGTGAAGGAGCTTTGTCAAGTCTGAGAAAAGTTTATTCAAGTCACCCCTTTGTGTAACAAGGGCTCGGGCACGGAGATTTTGGATTAAAAAAGAAAAAGCAAAAGGTCTGCGTTGCAACTGCGCTGTGGAGTTTGAAGAAGCGTGTATTTATGAGGGAGGGAGGGTGATTTGAAGGTGCATTATGGGAAGTGTAGACTCAAGTATTTTCAGATTGTATCCCACACTGACTACAAGTCAAGATATCACAGTCTCTGCTGCACAGATTTTGACAATTTTTCTCTCTCTTGCAAGTGCCCAAACTTTATAGAAGTACAATACTGAATTGCTGGAGTCCTCTTTTGAATCATTGCTGCGGAGACTTTATGTTTTCTTGTCTGGCCTTGAATGTGTTTGGATAAATTTGAATCTCTCTGTCTTTGTTTTCAGTGATATTTTCTACTGCACTCAGATTGTCATGAAAAGAGGCAAACTTTGGCCATCCAAATTATTTTCACAGTTATTTTATTTCACAGTCAGACAGCTTCATCATAGTCAAAGGGCTTATAGCTCTATCTTTCCAGGCCTTCTGCAGGACATAGAAAGTAATAAAGTGTGTCATCGTGTGTCATACAGAAGTCAAAATGGGCCAATAAACTGTATGTAAATATAGGTATGAACACAGAAAAACAAATACAAAAAAGAAACTGAACTCTGTATATGAAACAGATTGCTGGGTTGTCTTCATGATACTCTAATCACTTTAGAAACAAGAATAAAAAATCAACCAGAAATGAAATAAAAAGGAAATAAATTCACCTAAATGAAGAATAAACAGGTTTAATGTACACCAGGAAAGGAGATTTTTACTTCTTTTTGCAGGCTATCTTTGTCTTTCACTCTTTTCTTGCTTTTTAAAATCAAAAATTAATTTTCAACGCTTTCAAAATTCTTTAATGCAGTGCAGTGCAAACCAATTAAATCAATGTGGAGAACTGATTAAACTCATTGTCATCACTCTCTCTCTCTCTCCCTCTCCTGCAGGGAGAGCGTCAGGACTCGGACGTCGTCGAGGAAAGAAACGCCCAGGTGCAGCTGGAGAAGGCCAAGGTACTTTCTCACTGTTGCATCACGGTAACATCACAACCAGACCCACCATGGCTCTCACAGACTCATTTTTTCCAAGCGGCCGCTCTCAAGGACATGATTACATCACAGACAGGAAACACAGACATCAGGACGTTGGATTAGCGGAGCAACATTCTGCTATTAAAATGAATCACTGCAGTCTTCATCCTTGCCATCCCTTCATGGGCTCCATGTCTGGAGAAGGATAATAATGAAGGATATTGATTATTGCTGATTCAGTTCAAATGAATTCTGGCAGTCTTCAGATGACTGCTTTGTAGCAATATTGCATATCAAATATATTTACACTGAAAGAAACCAGAGTCTAGTGCAACAACAGTTCAACAGGCCAACTTGCCAACATGAAAAATGTTATAAATGATGCTCTAGTATGATTTCACTTATAACATCTTACACAGTTCAAGGTTAGAAAAGGTAGACTTCTTAATTTGATTACATTATTTACTTATTTATTAAAACACAATTGCTTCTTATTTGTTGTGTGTGTGTGTGTGTGTGTGTGTGTGTGTGTGTTCTGAAAAGATATTTCATGAGAAAAAAAGGAGAGATTTCAGAAAGTTTACATGAATGATGAATTACTTTGTGCAGCAGAAATACTTTCCCCCTTTCTTTCTGATCCCATTAATCATCTTGGAACCCCTCAGATTTATTTTACAAGCCCTTGGGGGGTCCTGATGCAAGGTTAGGAACCAGTACAGCATGAAATGACAGGAGAGAGTGATGTGTCAGACATTTATTTCATTGTTTCTTATGCATTACACCAATGCCTCTATTACAACTGGCCGCAGACCTAAGCAAAGGAGGTAGATGTACGCCAAACTTAGCAAAAATAAACTGGAAGTTGTGCAGTTATTATAAATGATCAAATGATAATAACAATGAGGTAGGGCTGGGCTATATAGAGTAAATCAAATATCACAGTATCAACCAAATATTGCGTAATATTTACGGTGACATTTTGATAAATAATCATTAGCAGTGTGGATATAATGACTGAGTGGGTAAAGGCAAATAATAGAACAGCTAGAACAGTCTGGTAAGTTCAGGGAATTACACGCAACAGTAACACGCTAAGATGCTGTTAATTAGGAAATCGTCATTGGACAGCACTAGGATTTTATTATTGGATTATCGCAGCATTTCACACAGGCCAATTAGGTGTGACAGACTGTTCCCTACAGATGAAAAGGACATTATTAGCATGGAGTATGGAGCAAGGAAGATTCATACAGAGTTACAAAATGAACAAATCCCAGTTAAGTTTTTGCACAGTCATGTTCAGGCATTGAAATAAACAGTCTTATACTTAATTACACACTCGTTGCTATTAAAAAATAAACTCAATGTCACCATATGAATACATAATATTGTTCAAAAACTACTTCCTGTTCAGCAATGATGCTTAGTTTTTATTCTTATCAGATCCCACTGAACCCAGATAGCTTAGAGAGATTACAAAAAGGAATATGAAACAAAAGCTAAGGTCTCAGGATGATATCACAACATTGATATGATATTGAGCTCGGACATCCAGAGGGAGCTCGGTGTAGAGCCGCTGCTCCTTTGTGTTGAAAGGGGTCAGTTGAGGTGGTTCGGGCATCTGATCAGGATGCCTCCTGGGGGCCAAAGTGTTGCTGGGGAGAGGGATGTCTGGGGTGCTTTGCTTGGCCTGCTGCCCCCACGACCCGGTGCCTGATAAGCAGATGAAAGGGATGGATGGATGGTTATAATATTGATGCCTTGCCCAGCCCTACAATGAGGTGTAAACATTAATCAGTGCTGTATGAGAGTCCATGAATGCAGTGAGGCGCATGTTATTCGTGTAAAACAAAAGAAAATAACCCAGAAAAAATAGCAGTCAGCTTGATGAAGGGATCGATACACATAGCTCAGAAATTCTGGCCATGTGTTCCCAGTCAGGACTATGGTACCACATCTCCACCCACCCAAGGACCTGCAGGACACACTGAAGCAAGGCAGCGTGAGCCAGCACAGCCTCATACACCTACAGTTCATGCCTTGTCGAGCTCTTTCAGTTGGTATAAAGATTTCCTCATATACATAATCATGCCAGAAATCAAGTTGGCTTTGAAATCAACAGCTCTCATTTTGAAGCCACTAAGCCTATGACTTGAATTTTATTTATTTATCCTTTCACACCAGTGCATCCAGAATTTGCCCGCTAAAGGTGCAGACTTTTACGTTTTTTGAGCGAAGCAATAATGTACAACTGGTGACAATAAAGTAAAAAATATCTTCACTGCTTTGACAACACGTAGGCAGCATTTAGGAATTTTGCCCATGCCAATGCAGTATCATTCAAATATAGGGAGAACGGAGCACGCTTTCAGGCAGTCTCTCCTGGAAGACATACATGATTGTTCACATGAAGGGTGGTGCCAAATACTCTGGCTCCTTCCTCACCTCCACACACCTGGCTAATCACTGTGTTTAATGAACCTGAATTTTGGATCGTCGATTTCGGGACATTAGAGAAAATGGTCAACCTATTTGTTTGTGCTTTTATGCAGGAAGCAATTACTGTGCTCAAAGCTACAATATGTAGTGTGGTATGTCATGAGAAATACAAAACACATACTCTATCTGAGAAACTGTCTGTGGATTGCATTTGAGAAAAGAAGTCCAAATTCTGCTAAAATTTAAAGCAAACTAAAAACTAAGTCAAGTTCAACCTTCTGCAGTGGTTATCACTGTTTAGTGTGCCTTACATACTTACAGAAGGTGGGTTATCCAGTATTTTTTCTGTGGGCATAATGGCAACGAAGGTCATTCCACAAATATATAAAAATATCACAGCTGATAACTCTCCCCCTCTGTTTGCCTTCTACGCAGCACCCGCTGATACACGTCCCATTCAATATTGAATTAAATCCTCCCCCACAGATTTAATGTGCTCCCACTGTTGCTCTGTAATTAAGGCGGCAAACACACTCGGCCCATCCCCTGCTGACCCCACAACCTCTCCCACAGCCTCATCTTCCCAAAGTGGAGTAATTAGCAGCTTGATCCGTGTGCCACTGACATTTGACTCTGATAGGATTACAACACCAACAGGCATTCAGTCAGGAGGAAGCATACAGTAGCTAATGTGCAGCGAAGTGGAAGATGCAGTAGGTTGTTTTCACAGCAGACATTTTGATTTGTCATAGTGGGAAAAGAACAGGTGTCACTAATAACATTAATGATGGCTCCATTCTATTCAAGTGTCCCAGTAAGCCATGACAGTCTGACAGTGAGCCAGCATGCACTAAACCAAGACTCTGAAACTAAAGCAATTAAAGTGAAAGATGCAAAATGAATGGTATTGCCAAGTTAAACAAGTGTATTGATAAAACATTTAAAAACAACAATAATTAAGTCATTTTAGGGGGAAAAAATCAAATACATTTGAAGTAAAATGACCAAAGAAAATAGAACATTTTTACATGTTTAAAGGATGTCAGAGTTATTTAACAGACAAACATGCAAAATCCAAAATATCCAAGTATCTCTGGCTCTTTTACATTAGATTTGCGTGGTATAGAATTAGCATAGATGATCTGCATTAGGCTGCACAGTTGTGTGCACATGATAGTTACACAAATTAATTACACATTGCTATAAAAAAGAGTGGCGAAGGGACAAGACAATATCATAAACATCATAAACAAATTATATGTATATGGTGGAATGAATCCAGTATTAGTTGGCACTTCAATACCAAAACAAAGCAGCTAGCCTGTCGCTAACACTCTGGCTCCAGTTGTTCAAATTCTTTTTTTCTGTTTCAGGATGATCGAGATTTGAAAATCCCATGTTTTGCCATCTAGGATTAGCTAATCCAGTGGTTCCGAACTGGTCCGTCCATGGAGTCCAGATTGCTCCTTAGTCATTAGTTAAAGATCCACAAAGTTAAATATATTCAGTGTCATACTTGCGTTTGGCCATGTCGTCAAGCTAGTTTGCAACAGAAAACGGCACTTCAAAAATAAAAAGCTTGTGCTGGAAATTCACTGTACTTCAAAATAAAATGTCACTTGTGGTCCATTCAGAATGGGCCCGTGACCCACTTTGGACCATGATCCACCAGTTGGGAACCACTAAGCTAATCCATTTTACCTTTGGGCCGGTTTTTCAAAACCGCATTGGACTGGATCACCCTGATCCAGATATAAATTATACAATATGGACAACCACTGCTCTATTCACATCACAATGTAGGCTACTAGCTATGTAAAGAACAGGTATAGCCTGCATTGGGTAAGTGTGTTAAGTTGGAGAGCTAGAGAAACAGCATGAAGGATGAAATTGTTAGAGACTGCTTTTGATTGTGTAATTGTAAATAATAGGGGTGAGAAATGAATGTTTAATATTGACAACTATTTGGAGGAATATTTTATTGGGCAAAAATCCTTTAAAAAAAATCCTTTGTATTTATTTATTTATTTTTACTCTACTGAAAAGGTTAATAGGTAAACTGATGTCCACTTTATCTACTTTATCCGTGTTAATGGTTAAACAATCAATGGAAAAATGTAAATAAATGTCTATACATTTGACCATTCTAAAAGTTTTATGACATTTTGTCAGTGAAATCCACCCTTCTGTTACGAGCATGATAATCCTGATGTTTTGGATCACAGGTATCGCAATCCTTCTAAAATGTTTTGAACAACACACACTAAAGATTTGATTCAGGTCAAAACCAAGACAGAATTAAAGAATCTTTTTATTTCTTTTGAACAATCCATTTTCAAACTTTGATCCACTTGGACTGCTGAAATCTAACAAAACATAATCTAAAGGTGCTGCTGGGATTTAGTGCAGTTTTGTAGTGATTTCGGAAGTTTAGATATGTCGCAATACCTGAATTTGCTTGGTTAGCAATGTTGTGTTATCTCTAATATCCCTCTGAGGAGTGTTGATTATATTGTTTATGCCTTACTGTGTTACTTTGTGTGCACAAATGAATAATTTCAGAACACAAATTTGTAATTGTGGGTGCAAACTACTTTCAGGGCACAATTTATTCATTTCTGTACAATTTTTTTTCTCTTTATGATACCAGCTGGGCTCTGTATATGTGCAAGTCTACTTTGCTATCTTTTCCAAACACATCCTGCTTAAACAGTTTTGCATTATTTATTAATCTCCCCTAAACCAGTGCCGTAAGATCAAATGCTACAGTTTACAAGCTGTTAATAGTAACCTGCAGAGCTGTTTTGGAACGAGGGAAAGCACAATGCTAAATAAAAGCACATGTACTTTTTGAGAGCCCACATACAATACATGCCACACACACAGTGTATGCACAGCATGCATAGAAGCACATATGCTTCCAGGCATAAACACCATAATTTTATCCCCACTGTGTAATCATGTTGGTATCATTATGTGAAAAAAAAGAATATTTGCAGGTTTGTACAAACTGAACTAGACCCAAATATACAAACAATTTATTGTGTCCTCTTGTTTACAATCCTACCTACACTTCAAAAGCACATTTCTGCAGATTGAAGTGTTTATTGTGCTGTATTTCTGTGTGGAAATGGCCTCATTTCACATTAGTTCCAGTTCTCCAGTTAGTTGTTCCTGTTTGTGAGGAACATTGTGTAGTTGTGTGTTATCAATTAAAATAAAGGGAAATATGAATTTGTTTGTGTGAAACTCTGTTTGTGGGTGAAATGAAGGGATTTTAGATGACTCTGACATCTGTTAGTAATAAGTCAACACCTGTCTTGTGTCCTCAGTACAAACCTGTGGCATTCGCAGTACGTTGCAACTTCTCCTACACCCCAGCAGACGACGACAACGTTCCCGTACCGGGCCAGGCTGTCACCTTTGAGGCCAGAGACTTCCTCCATGTCAAAGAGGTTTGCAACTCTCACACACACACATTCTTGTACTACTGTCTTTGTGAGGACCCTTATTGACATAATGCATTCCCTAGACCTAACCTTAACCATCACAACTTAATGCCTAACCCTTACCCTAACCTAAATTTAAACCTAATTCTAGCCTGAACCCTAAAACCAAGTTTTAACCCTCAAACAGGCATTTGAAAAAGTGAGGACCAGCCAAAATGTCCTCACCTTGCAAACTGTCCTCACTCTGTTGCTAAAATAGATTTTGTGGTCCTCACTGTGTAGCAAGCACAAGTAGAGACACACACATACACATTTATGAGTCACATCCAGATAGCTTACAGGGAGGCAACAATGACACAACATGCAGATGCTGACATCACCAAAGTACCACCAAAGAGTCAAGAGAGTGAATGAAGCTTTAAATTTACACGTTTTTTTTTTTTTTTTTTTTATTCACAGAAGTTTAACAATGAGTGGTGGATCGGCCGGCCAGTGAAGGAGGATGGTGTGGTGGGCTTCATCCCCAGTCCAGTCAATCTGGAAACCATTCTCATCAGAAGAGAAGTCCAGGCGAGGAAAGCCGCCAAGGCCTTAGCCAAGTATGTACAGCGTACGTTTCTCTTTTCCACTAGCTTCAATACAACAGGGTCACAAACCAGCTCACAAGCCCATGCTGCAGTGTGCTGACTTATCTTGTAATCCTAATAATAATCTTTATTGGTCCAGCACACATACAAACAAAAACATGGATTATATGACATTTTAAGCATTCAGTTGATGCTCTTTGAAAACATCCACAGATTAGTCAAACTACATTTTGACCAGAGAGGTGGTATCCACGGGAAAGGGTCACACCAGGACAGTGGCGGCTGCTGGTCTTTCAAATAGGGGACGCTCACTTTAAGTTTACATCATAAAATTTGTCATATTGTAGCGAGGCAGTAACTTATAAAAGGAACATTTAATTGAAGCCATTTTTTGACCACACTCATGCCATAGAACCAGAGCAAAACACACCTCAAAGATTTTCAGATGGGTTGAAACACCTGAACTGTACTGTACAAATGGTGAAAATGAGCTTTCAGGGAATCTGGGGAAATTTTAGGGGAAGTGCAGCCTCCTTTGTTGTCTCAGAGCAATCGCCCCTGCACCAGGAGTTGTTTTATACATAAAAGCATAGCAAGTATGGCTGGATCAAACCACAAGACTGCACTGTGGCAAAAATGTGCTGAGGGCCCCAGTTGAGCCCCTTTTCTCCTTCTCTCTATGCGTTAGTGTACGAGAGTACCCAACTAACACAATTCACACAGTTAGGCCCTGATCACACTGGGATGTGTCATTAGGGGTGCAAGCGCTAAAAATGTGTTGGCAAAGCATGTCAGGTATAACAAGCGTGGTGCCCTTGTGGAGCGGGGCTGCATGTATAACCAGGGAATCAAATGTGATTAACAGAAAAACACACACAAAGTAATCTCCTGTAATCTCCCCCATGCCCCCCTTACATGTGGTCTCTTTCTCTCTCTCTCAAAGACAGCAGCCGACATGAAACTATCACGACACAAGATATGAATCCCCCCCTTCCCTTTCACATACCAAGTAGTTCTCTCACAGTCTAACAGCTACCCAACTAGCTAGCCTATTTATTGGCATAGTAAATGACATCATACTCACCGGAGGGATTCACCTGGCTGCTCACGCAACTCCATGCATGCGTTTGCCGATTAGTATTTGTATAATAGGGGTGACCTTTTTTGTAATTAGATACTGCTAATATCCGCTTATTGTCTGCATTTACCATTGTTCCATTAGTTTTACCACATCTACCGTCGTCAAAACACTAGTGAATCCCGTCAGTTGGTTGGTTTCATTCTTGGAACCCATCGGCAGACCCCCGATTTTTTGGCATTCCGGTTTGATTTGGGTGGAGGAGGCGAATTTCCGTTTCCGACTTCCATTTATATAAAAGTAAATATGCTGAACCATTGCGATGGATTCAGAGTTTGCAGTGACGCCTATTATGTTCCGCCTCGTTAGTTCATCGCACAGACCGTTTAACCTGTTAACAACTGCAGCTGGCTCCAACGTGATTGGTCAATATCACGCGGACTACAAACAGCCTAAAACCAGAAACCAGGGCTCTTCCGCTCTTCTTCCGGAGGCAAGATCTCCGGGGTTTGCCTACACTCTACATTCACTGAATGTAGAGTCTGTTTATAGAGACTAGGTTTAACTGGCTGCCTCTGCCAAGTGTGACCTCGCTGAAAAGTTGAGAATATTTCAACTTCTATGCATGCCTTGCAGAATAAAGAGATTCAAAACACATGGGATTGGACATTTGAGGGTTTACCTGCGAGAAAGCCAAAGAATTAGTACATCATGACAATTCATTGTGTATGACAAACAAGCAGTATCAGTTGACACACCCACAGCTTTCCAATACACATTAAAAGGTGTTTCCTGTCACTTAAGCGACTGCTCTCCTGTTATTCAGACAACCAGCTCCGAGAACAATTGCTTCTCCTCACATAGCCAAATTTGACCAGAATCATGCCAGATCATTTCGCAGAAGTCACATCAGGATCACGCACACCATATATTACACAGAGAGTTTATGCCAGGTCGATTACACTGTAAAAAACGCTAGAAAAAGTTACAATCTGTGCTGCATATAACACCCTCTATCCTTAGACTTTTATCATTTCCATGGAACATATTCCAGAGCAAGTTTTTAATTAATCAAATATTACAATCCAACCGACACAAAGTGATCCTGCAGCTTTTCGAGGGGGGGCTCAGCCGGTAATCGAGACTTGAAAGATAAAAATATGAAAAGGAAAATATTAAAGCAGAACACTAGAAGGGAGGTCAAGGACAGTCAACAGAGAATCCCCCCTCTTCAGCAAGTTAAAAAAACATCCATTTTAACACGGGATTTAATGAGATATAATCAGATCATACCAGTGATTTACTGCAAATTTCACACACACACACACACACACACACACACACACACACACACACACACACACACATATAGCCGCTGATGATTTTCTAAAGCTATAACTTTAAGATTAAAAAAAAAAAGTATTTCCCATTGTTTTCAGACAGCCATTGGTTTCCATTTGTTTCCCTTTTGTTCAGTCAGTAGGTTGTTTTTACTCTAATCAGCCTGGCAGGCAGGAAGATCCACTACAGACTGAAAGATTTTGACTTGACCCAGTTAGACTGAAAGAAACTCATCTAGAGGATCTTAGGAATTTGGCTTCGGTGGCAACTGTGTGTGCTGAATCACTTCAAGGGATTTACCCTCTAAGCTTTATATGGCTGTGTCTTATATAAGTAGATATACTGTACAGTCTGTGGGCACACATTATTTTATTGCATAGATACATATCGTGCTCTATTTTCACCATGATCTGAGCTAATTCAGGACTTTTCTCTCTCGCATTTCAGCAAAGCAGCGGCTCAAGTAGCTCAAGATATGAACTCAAAGAAATATACTCCTCCATCACAAGGTCAGTGTGTTTGTTAAATTGTGTGAAAAACATTTTTTGTTGTGTTTTGGTGATTGGTGAGTTAACACTAGATACCTCTCTCTCTTATCCCCCTACATAGCCAATCAGCAGGTGAAAAAGAAACCGGTAAGTGACCCGTTTGTTCTGTTGACATCTCTTTTAAATTATTGTTTCTCATCCTACAGACAGTCCTCCTTGCAAACACACAGAAGTATTTTCCTCAGACCTTTTTAAAATATAAGGAAATTTGTCAAATCATAGGAAAAGAAACACTCTGTCACTCTATGTTTGCACTGCAAGCAGCATGTTGCATCAGCAGCATCTCATATAGACCAAATCACCATGACATCACGCTAACAACAACTAACCCAGTCTCACTCTGAAGTCGGCCAAATCCGGCGCTTGGTCAGTGACTTGCAGCATCAGACACTGACGAAAAAAGCTGTCCTCTAATTGGCATGATACACGGCCAGTCGCTGTGTTATAGTTTAACTGCTCTATGCGGCGGCGGCGGGAAACGTAGCGAGACAAGAATTAAAGATAAGGCGGCGAAATTCCGAATAGGGTGGGTGGGATTTGGTGGGATTGGTGGTGGATGGGTCCAGCAAACACCGACTTTCAGCTGGGAGAGTGGTGTTCACGTCCTGCAAGATTATAAAGTCCAAACCCTGTTCTTTTTGTCCTAAACCTAACCACGTGCCTTAGTTGTGGGAGGAATAAAAATGTCAATTCGCGTTGTTGTACCAATGTAGTGCTTTTATTTTGAAAGAGACTGTATGTAAATGGTAAATTTCCTGTGAAAGTGTATTTTGAAAGAAGATAATGCATGTACAGTAACAGGCAAAACTTGACACAGCGTACCAGAACGTCAACAAAAAACACACCTTTCACCTTTCACGTTGTATCTGGACGTGGAAGGTGCATGACCAAACATTGATATGTGACAAGGTCGGAGAACCAAATGTATTGCCAAATGTATTGCAACAACAGTCACTCAGGGCTAGACAACTGGCAACTAGGAAACGTCAAACTTGTTTATTTGTGTTGCCATTTTCATCCGTAACTAACATTTATAGATAATTTTGGTCCAACCAATGATGTTTCTGCTGTGCTCATTTCATATGCTGTTTTGCTTTGCTAACGTCTTTGATTATCCAAATCTACCAGCATGGAAGCCAAGCAGTGTACTGCTGTGGACAGGGGCTGTAGCAAAATATATTTAGCTGAAAAGACCCACATTAAAAACATCAGTATCAATTTAAGTGTACACTATATTTGGAATACTTTCACTGCTTTACCTTACACACTAACTGACTGAGGCAGTGGTAGACCAGCAACTCCCATTTTCTAAAATGACTGGTTTTGTCAGTGGAGTCTGGTGGCTTTGAGATAACAGCTTCGGATCCCCGTCGGAAAGAACTGTCTGATGGCAAAGTTAAGCTTTGAAAATATTCTATATATAGCATACAGTTAAACTGATACTGATTTTTTAGGCGGCTAAAAAAATGAACCACTTGATGCAGCGTTTCCTCAGCACTGTTAATTTTATATGCGTGGCACGGAAATATTCTACCAAGAAGTTACTGTGAACAAACATTTTGTTTCAGTCTACACTGAATTAAACTTGAATTTTTTGTGGCTACAGGGGGAGCAGGTGGCTATGTATGATGTAGTGCCTACAATGCGTCCTGTGGTTTTAATGGGACCATCACTGAATGGCTTAGAGGTGAGACTTCCTCACACGCTCTTTAATCTTACCTCTCATTGAGTTCCCTTTGACTTGTCAAGGACCTATGATGTAAAGCTGAGACACCTAATCTAGTATTTCAAATAAATGTCTGTATTTTGGGTTGAGCTTGAATAGAGGGGGGTTTATTTAAAATCCATGTTTCTTGTGTAATTCCAGGTTACAGATATGATGCAAAAAGCACTATTTGACTTTTTAAAACATCGATTTGAAGGCAGGTAAGTTCAGATTTAATTCTTCAGTGTCGCACCTTTAATGTGGATGTAAAACATAATGAAAATCACAACTGTGTAACAATCCCTGTTTCTCTGTCTCCTCTCCAGAATTACCATTACACGGGTCACAGCAGACATCTCTTTGGCTAAACGGTCCATCCTCAACAACCCTGGCAAAAAGGCCTTAATGGACCGGTCAAACACACGCTCCAATTTAGGTACACGGCTTTATCCTCCCAACCTAGAGCCAGTAGTCGTGGCAAATGATCTTTGGCGCCACTTTATCTGTTTGGAAAGCAAGACAGTTAGGGTTTACCTCATCAGGACAAATCAGATAGTATCAGTAACAGAAAAGTACACTAAAATCTCTTCTAAAATAACTTCTTGTAATTGTCTTAGCTTTCTGGCACTTGTTGTGCTGTCCCTTGTGGCAAACCCTAATTAGGTTAAAACAGAGCAAATGATACTATCTGACCCAGGTCTGAAATTAATGTGTCCGACTTTACGTTTTCTAATCTCACAAAGCACTGTGCACTTTGTTTTCTGAAGTTGTTTTTATTTTGAAGCTGTATAGATGATACTTTATTCAATGGGATGATAATTAGAGATCACTGTATGCACCACAACAAAGATAGTAAAAGGAGTAGTTCAACATCTTAGCAGATAAGCATGTTTGCTTTTTTTTGCCAAGAGTGAGATGAGCAAACTGATACCACTTCCATGTTTGTGTGTTAAATATGAAGCTAGCCTATTAGCTTAGCTTAGCACAAACACTGGAAACGGGGAAACAGCTAGCCTGGCTCTGTAAAAAGGTTTTAAAAAGCAGCCTACCAGCACCTCAAAAGTTCACCAATGAACATGCTATATCTTTGTTTAATGCACCCTTCCTGCTTCCCCTTGTTTCCGGTCTTTAAGCAAAGCTAAGCTAATCAGCTGTTGGCTGTAGCTTCATGATTAGCTTACAGATACAAAGATGGCATTGATCTTTCAAAGCTCTAGTGTGTAGGATTTAGTGGCGTCCAGCAGTGAGGTTGCAGATTGCAACCAACTGAAACTTCTCCCGTGTGCCAAGCTTGTGCAACTACTACAGTAGCAAACATGAAAACGTGAATCTAGAGCCACTCTTTGATTTGTCCATTCAGGCCTACTGTACAAACGACATGGTGGACTGTGTGGAAGAGGACCCGCTCCATATGAAGATATAAACAGCTCATTCTAAAGTAACAAAAACACAACAATTCTTAGTTTCAGGTGATTAAACACTAATAAAAATCAAAATATTATATTGCATATTTTCCGAAATATGTCCCCAAATCCTGCACACTGGAACTTAAATCTAACTCCTACAAGAAATGAAATAAAAAGAAATATTCATCTAAGCATATGACAGAAAAACAGGTTGACATCTGAGACATTAGTAGGTTATTATATGGCAGTACATTTACTGTTTACTGGACACTGCAGTAGGCGAGGTTAAATTCACCTTTGGTTACAAAAAGAAAGGATAGGTATCAAGAAGATAAGGTGAATAAGATTTACTTGGTTTTCTCTACTCTTGTCTTCCTCATTGCTCTCTCATCCCAGATGCTGCCGGTATGTATGACTGAATGCACTGGTAGACTGTGTCTGTTTGAATGTTTCACCTCCCTTTCATTACCTCATCAGCACCAATAGCCACTGCTCTGACACTGTTCAGTGTGTAAATATACACAGGCACCAGCACAAGCAGGTGTTTTCTTACCTGTTTATTTGCTTCATTGGGTCAACTGTTGTGTAAGATGTAATTCATGGTATAGTAGAATATTTGTAAGTGCTTTAACTTTGAATAAAATCAGCCACTGCCTCCTCCATGCCCTGCTTTCCTGCTCTCCCCCTGGTGGCCAATCTTTAAATTACTCCTCCCATGAGTGCAACACACCCTGGTAATGAATTAGTTACCCAGGAAAATAAAAATACATCGCTTCTTGTGTTAACATAGTCTCATTCAGTAGACAGTGTTTTGTAATTGGTCACATTTACAGTTTTTAATCTGTGGAAGGGTTTTATGAGTTGTCATGTGAGTTGCTCACAAGTCTGTACTTTTTTATTTGTCTTGTTTTCTACATTAAAAATAACAATTTGATGTTGTTGTTTTGTTTTGTTTTTTTGAGTGGGTGTTGAACTGAGATGCAGAGACAGGGTTGTTCCATCGTTTTAAAACCATACATGCATACAAATTTGTTGACAGAAACAAAAGGTCAATTTAATGGTAGTTCTAGTGCTTTTGATTGGATCACATGATCTTCCTCTCCCATATTCGCTTCCACCGCTGAGGAAGATTGTGGGATTTGATCAAAAGTTTCACAACAGCCACTACAATAAATGGACTTTGTGATGAGATCCTGATCCTGATAACCTGATAATTCATTTTTGACCTTACTGCTGGTTCGGCTGGTTTAACTTTCAGCGATTGTTCTCATTTCGGCATCTTGATTAACTAAAAAAGGATTCTCACATACCAGCTCTAGCAATGAAAATACATATGAAATCTTTCAATATTACTTACAGTGGAATAATTGAAGTTTTTCTAATAATAAACTTAAAACAATCTACTGTAATCTCACGAGTTAAATATTAACAAGGCAATGAAATATGCACAATTGATGGATTTCCTGGATCTACGGTGTCAAAATCATGTTTTCCCTATTTGCTTGTGCAGCCCAGATCCAGGGGGAGGTGGAGCGAATCTTTGAGCTTGCCCGCAGCCTGCAGCTGGTGGTTCTAGATGCAGACACAATCAACCACCCTCTCCAGGTGTCCAAGACTTCCCTGGCACCAATCCTTGTCTATGTCAAGATCTCCTCACCAAAGGTAGGCTTCATAGTGCACTGAGTTTGGTTACAAACTGTAAAGCCCTCACTCATCACTGTACGCTTTATTCCAGGGCTGGTTGGCCTTCTTTGGCTTTTCGTAGGCTCACTCACTGGTATTTGTTAATTTATAAAGACATACTGGGGAAACTCCCTTCGTACTTTGTACTTTGATTGAACAGAGATCTGACTGTAGCTATTGTCTGAGATCTCAAGATTATGTGTTCTTGGTGCACAAACTGAAAACACTGTCTTTCTCTACATCTTTTTTCTCCTCTTTCTCTCCCTTCACTTCTGTTGTGTAGGTGTTGACGCGACTGATCAAGACGAGAGGAAAGTCACAGACCAAGCATCTCAATGTTCAGCTGGTGGCAGCAGACAAGCTCGCCCAATGCCCACCGGTGAGTGCCATCTAGTGGCCACTGTATGAAATTGGTGCAGTGGAAGTTGACTGTTCAGTACTAACTTCATTTTTTCTTGAATAGATTTGTAAAGATGGATTGTCATGCCATGTCAAAATGTTAAATAGCCTATTTTAGTTGTTGCACAGAATTATATATTTGGCTTTGTCTATGTATCTGACAGTTTGTTTGTTTGAAGTTGTTATACTGGTAAAAACTGACCAGAAACTGTAAGAAAACAGTACTAATTTTTGTACGAACTAGAAATACTTTTTTCCCTTGGGGCCACACAGTGGTGCAGTGGTTACCATTGTCGCCTCACAGTAAGAGGATTCCTGGTTTGAACCTGCATGCAGAGTTTGCATGTTCTCCCCGTGTCATCATGGGTTTTTCTCTGGGTACTCCAGCTTCCTCCCACAGTCCAAAGACATGCAGGTTAATTGGTGACTCTAAATTGCCCGTAAGTTTGACTGCGATGGTGAGTGGTTGTATCTATGTGTCAGCCCTGCGATAGTCTGGCGACCTGTTCAAGGTGTACCCCGCCTCTCGCCCAATGTCAGCTGGGATAGGCTCCCCCCGCCACCCCCAACATGATAAGCTGTTACAGGAAGTGAATGAATGAATTGAAATATTTTGGTAACTGTTATGCAGAGCCGTGGGTACCATTGCCAGCAGGTCATGTCCTCAGTATTTATTTTTCTGGGACTTTGTGGGGTTTTAGCACCTTGATGGGAATCTGTGTTTACAATTTCAAAACTTACACGATAGGTATTATAGGCCGAATACAGTATTTTTAGACTGAATTTCACCACTATTATTAACAGCATTTGGACATCCTTATTGGAAAATAAGCAGAATAAACAGATTATAAAAAAATCCAAATTAAAAATTTGGAGATTTTGTTTTTGGTGCACATGCATGACCTCAGTACTTTTAGAATCATGGCTTTTTTCCACACTATATTCATTCATATATCAGAATTAGTGTTGTCATTTCATATCACTGTTGATATGGTTTTCCCTTTTTTTAAAGATGACATTTTTGAAGCCACCCACACTTCTGTCATGTTATAAATGGTGTCACAGATTATACTTTACTGTCTCACTCATTCCTTTATTCTTGTCCTTATTTTCATTTTCCTGTAGGAAATGTTTGACGTCATCTTAGATGAGAACCAGCTTACTGATGCCTGTGAGCATGTCGCTGATTATCTGGAGTCTTACTGGAGAGCCACTCATCCACCAGAGATGGAGCCTGCCAACGCACTGGTAGCCCAGCTGGCTGGGAACACACTGCCCACCAGTCCTTCAGCAATACCGGTACATGAAACCCAGACACATATGTGGGGAAAAACTTCATAAACAGTGATATTATAGGATCTAATATCATTTGCAAAAATTTCATGCTGTCATCTCATCTCATCCCACTCATCCCATCTGTGCAGACAGTGCTGAATGTGGAAAACCGGTTTGCAGAGTAAATGATGAGCACAGCAGGAATGCTAATTTTTCTAGACAGAGGATGCAGTGTGCTGCATCTGTATTCTTTTCCATTTATTCATCTAACATTTCCATTTCATTTCTCCTCATCCTACTCCCATGGAAAGATGAAGAAATGAGATAGGTGTACCTCTGGTGAGTGAGATACCCTTTTATTCTGCTGTAGCTGAGTTTTCACCGCAGTAATTGAGATGAGTTACAGTAGCCTTCTCTTTAGAAGCTAGAAATAATGTGTATATATTGTCTCAAAAAACAGACGAATATAGATTTTTTTTTTTTTTTTTTTTTCACAAAAAATCCAAGATGCCGGAAATGTATCACTACAATGTCATGATTGCTTATATATGGATTTATTTTTAGCATTTGGAAATAAAGCAACTAACTGAGAACCAGTAAATTTACTTTTTAGAGGTACGTATGCTGCCTTTGACCACGCCACATGTTGAAGTCTGTGTCAGCCCCAGTTCACTAACATGACACATAAATTCCCAATGAGAAATAATTGGGAGTAGCAATAATAGAATTAGCCTATACTATGCAAAGCTATCTCTAAAGTAGTGAGAGATCAACTACAGTCAGTTGCCAGTTTATTAGGTACACCTAGCTCAAACTAATGCACTCTATGTGTCTCTGACCATTAACAGGTATCACAGCTGAGGATCAAAGAGGCCGACTTTGCAGTTGTAATAGTAGCATGCATGAAATCCCTGCTGTTTGCTAAATATACCAGACACCAGATAAACTCCATTTCAGATGTCTCACATAAGTGCAAAAACTTGTTGCTAGATGTCAGATTCCTGCAGCTTATATAGGCAAAACCTCACTCAACAGAAACTGTCGCTGAAAGCGCAACTATTATTTATCAGCCTCTTTATGTAGTGTTGTCTGATACAGAATAGAAAAAGGTCTCAGACCAAGCTCCTTAAAGGTGTGCCATGTAGGACTACCATTTGTAAACATGCTTGCAGGCAAAAGTGAAAGTAAAATCCAACCCAGAATCACTCTTGTTTGGCATTTTGCCTTGCTATATTATTTGTTGTTGTTTTTTTGGCACCGTCTCTATATGCCTACTGCTTACAGTCCCACGGCATGATTTTGCCAAATGGGACATGCCCCTGGATCAACAGCCCACATCGCATTCCAGTACCAACATTGTAATCAACCAATCACAGCCCTCTGACATCATTAGTCTGCTGCTTCTGGGCTTTCAAGAATTTCTTTGAGCTTCTTCAGAGCTGAGCTAGATTTCCCAAACTGAAGTTAGTAGAATTGAACAGAATCCTTAGTACCACTGAACAAAAGCCATGTAAGCTACTGCAGGGTTAGCAAGTTAGCTGACTAGGTTGGCTATGCTAACAAGAAAGCTTGCCAATAGGGGAGAATATTGCTCACTAACATAGAGTAAGGATAGTAGCATTTTCAGTTGCCAATTCCTGCAATCAACACATTTTCCCCCTCTTTTGGATGCTACTGCGAGGTTAGGGAGTTAGCTTGCTAACTAGGAGGGCTATGCTAATGAGTAAACTTGCTGATAGACTAGAATATAAGCTAACTAGACGGCTATGCTAGCAAGTAAGTTGCCAATAGGCTAAAATATTCTTCATTCAAATCACATCGAGCTCTTACACGTTGGCACCTGGTCTGTATCTGACCTCACTTGAGCACTGTTGAGGTGAAAATAAGAAAAGAATTAAATAATAATTATAATAATAAATAAATAAACAAATAAAGGCAGAGTCACTGCAGAACACACACTGCCACACACCTCTAGTGGGCCATAATGATTGAGAGGGATAATTCTGTATGAGCCTATACCTTGTTTTTTTGTTTGTATTTAGTTTGTGGTTCGTGTTTGTGTGTTTTAAGTTGTAAATCGGTCAGATTTGACCCGAACACGACAGGAAGGTTAATGTCATATGCAAAATCTCTAAATACACGTCAAACTCACCGCTAGAGCACTGATCACAGAGCTTGACTTCTGCACTATTGAAGCAACAGTAATGGTGCTTACGGTGTAAACTGTCTTAACTGGTGTTCTCTCCTCACCTTCATCTGTGAAAAAGTATCCACCACATCATTAAAATCCACATCTCTGATCAAATTATAACACATACATCTTGGATAATGATCATTTTCCATTACCTTTGTAAGCACTCGTTTTTGACTTGTGTTTATCTCTACATAAGCTCTCTTTCATTCTAGTTTAACTTGGAGTAACCTTGGGATCACAAACATGCAATTATTATCATTTTTGGACATTTTATACAGAGAGTGATTCATCAGGTTATCAAAAAGCCAATCAAAAGTTAAAACTGGATCGATTCATTTAACAATAGATAAAAAAAAGTAGTTCAAGCAGCTGTAGAGCAGATGCAGAGAAGCCTGAGGCAGCAAGTGTGTCTGTTTTTATGTGCGTAATTGCACAAAATTGCACTCAGTGGCCCAAGGTCCCATGATAAAACAAAGAATTATAATCCAAAAATATTCAAATTGCCTCTGGTGTGATTGCCAGTTTAGGCACTTGAGAGCCAGCTGCCTCCCTGACAGCAGCTGTGTTTGTGCACATGGACATGCAAATAGTGTGAAGGTGAAGATGTATAAGTTTGGGCACAGTGTTTTTTGTGTTGGAGCAAGTTTTCTACATTTGTGTGACCTTTATGTGTATGTATGTGCCATTATGTTATGTTTCTCGTCCCAGGATGGGCAGAAAAACAAGAAGACAGCTGCCCCCAAGAGGAAGGGTTCCCGGGAAAACCATCTCGACCTGGAGCCCCCTTCAGTACAGGCACAGGAGCAGAGGGCTGAGGAGGGCCAAAGAGAGGAGGAAGAACGACTTCTGAGGACTGAACCAAAGAGACCCCAGCACACCCACCACCATCACCATCACCACCACCACCACCGTCGGATGGAGCACCACAGCCACACCCAGCACAACCAAACATCTGGAGGCATGGAAGTACAGCCGAGCAGGGATTACAGACAGAGGCTTCCCCGCAGGCACCCGCCTGAGGAGAGGGAGGAGGAGGTGGAGGATGTGGTCGAGGAGGACGAGGACGAGACTCGCTATAACCACCGAGGCCATAACCACCACCATCATAACAGCAACCACCACCATCACCACCACCACCACCAACAACATCACCACCGTGGGAACAGCCAGCCACATGTTGCGGCAGACTATGAGCAGGAGCACAATGAACGCAACCGGCAGCACAGGCATCACCAGCATATTCCACAACGGACACACCACACGGATCACTATCCTGCGCACAATCATCACAACTACCACCACTACCATGGCAGAGACAGGGACAGGGACAGAGATAGGGAAAGACACAAGGACAGAGAAAGAGACAGGGATAGGGACAGAGGTAGAGGTAGAGACAGAGACAGAGATGCACGACAATGGCACAGGGATTCCTATATACATTCGTGACTGCTGTTTCTTCTGTGGGCTGGTGCATGGTTTTATGCTGCTCAAGTTATAATGCACTAATGGAGGGCAGGGTGTGTCATCTTTGTAGACAATGTTTTCCTCATATTATTTACCATTTTTTATTTTTACCCTCTGCACACACATTGTCCTTTAACCAGAATCAATATTATGACTTGGTTTTTGTCTGTCTTATTTTCACCTAATTAATATGGCTCTATCTGAGTGTATTTTTGCACAGACATTAAAAGCAATGGTGTGTTCGTTCAGTATGGGTTGTAAACTTTTTGGTTTTGTATTGGTCATGCGAATCATACCAAAGCCAGTTTTATTTTATCCATTATCTCAAGATCACTTTATTACTACTTTACTCTTCTTACCTAGAGTCTGTTTCTGTGCTTAATGATATTAGATATATAATAATAATAATTAATAATATATTAATAATAATAATGATGTAGCCAGGGTTGTCCCTTGTCACCGATCCTGTTTGTGATATTCATGGACAGGATCTTGAGGTGCAGCCGGGGGGAGGAAGGGGTCCGTTTTGGGGACCTCAGAATTGTATCTCTGCTTGTTGATGATGTGGTTCCGTTGGCTTCATTACACCATGACCTCCAGCATGCACTGGGGCAGTTTGCAGCCAAGTGTGAAGCGGTCATGATGAGAGTAAGCACCTCCAAATCTGAGGCCATGGTTCTCTGCTGGATTGCCCCCTCCAGGTTGGGAGAGAGTTACTGTCTCAAATGAGGGAGTTCAAGTATCTCGGGGTCTTGTTCAGACAGCAAAAATGAGTTTCCTCTGTGGGGTGGCTGGGCTCAGCCTTAGAGATAGGGTAAGGAGCTCGGACATCCGGAGGGAGCTCAAAGTAGAGCCGCTGCTCCTTTGTGTCGAAAGGGGTCATTTGAGGTGGTTTGGGCATCTGATCAGGATGCCTCCTGGGCGCCTCCTGTTAGAGGTGTTCCAGGCATGTCCCACTGATTGGAGGCCCCAGGCAGAACACGCTGGAGGGATGACATATTTCATCTGGCCTGGGAATGCCTTGGGGTCACCCATGAGGAGCTGGAAAGCATCCCGTGACCCGGCCCTGGATAAGCAGATGATGGATTGATGGATGTAGCCCAAAACAGATCATCATGAGAAAACATCTCTGTTTTCCTGATATATTAAAATACAATTTGTGATCTTGAGATGAGGGGATAAAATAATCCAAACAATGGCTGGTCTTCCGTTCAATTAATGCATTTTATGATTTTTGTTTCTACAAAGTTTGGAAAAGGGATGTTTTGTCTAATCAGATTGTCAAAAAATAAACAAAAACAAACAAACAGAAAAAAACAAGGGAACAACAGACTTGTGTGTTTTTGTGTCACATCTGACTCTGCCCCCATGTGTTACACTTGGTGTATTTTCAAAAACCAACAATTTATTTTAAACATTGGTAAGGAAAGTCCAACTATTTTTCTACATGATTCTAAAGGGAAGTCATACTTTTCTTCCTACTTTTCTAAATGGTGTTCAAGCATATTTATTGACTTGCATTTGCTCTTGTCTGGAAGCATGAAAAATCTTTTGGTGACACTGACCTGTGCTATATGCTGGATACTCTATGCATCTTCTTGTGATAAAATATATTGCTTGAATACAATCTCTATGCATTTGTATATACTTCATAATTGCCTTGTTAGGTAAATTCAAGGAGAACCAGAGAGCTTGTTGCACTGTTTAGTAGAACTTGACCTACTGTGTATGATTGCTTTGAGTTGATGAGACTGAATTGACTCTGTTCCTTTCAAAAATGTTTTGTTTTGGTTATTTTTGTTTTGTACAGCATTCAGAAGTTGGTTTTGACAAATATGCATTGTTGAAAATCATTAAAATACAAAATGAAGAATGTGTTAATTGACATTTTATTTGAAGATGTCAGCGCTTCCCTCACTTATTACTCTTCAGGGGTCTCATTTATAAATACTGCATATGCACAAAACAAGGGCTGAAATAGGCATATGCCACTTCCCACACTAAAGTTGTGATCTATAAAAACAGACTTGATGGGAGAAACTTTCGCCCACGCTTTTGAACATTTTGGAGAGGGGAAATTGATGATGCAGATGGTGAAGCCTGAATGTAGAAATTGTTGAACATTATTTGGCGCACTCTGTTTTTTGGCTTTTGTCTGTACGTACATTTTTAGTATGGATCCTATGCATTGTTTCATAAATGAGACCCCAGATCACTGATGTTGTCCTTGACATGGAAGTTGCATGATGCATTAATGTGTACATCACTTTAATGTTGCAGCTGGTAGAAGTGTTTCTAATTCAAATTCCTTTGACGATTAGCTTGTGAATTTTCTCCTGGGGATCAATAAAGATCATTTTAATCTATAATGATAGGCTAAATCATAATTTATTTGTTGATCTTATTTTGCATTATTCATCTGAATCCACAAAGTAGCTTAACTAAAGTTCTATCAAGTAAATACAATGAAGTAGAGAGTGCAACCTTGCTAAAGTAAAAGGTAGAAAATGGAAACACTCAAGCAAAGTACACACAAATTTGTACTGAAGTAACTGTGTTTTTCCATAAAGTAATATTATAGGAAAGCCTGAGAATGACAGGGTGGGAGGCAGAGAGAAGGGCGATGACACGAAGCAAAGGGCCACAGGTTGAAATTGAACCCACATTGCTATATGGTCTCAGCCAACATGGGGCACACACTCTACCAGGTGAGCCAAAAGTCAATCCCTTTCCATAACATAATAAACAAACTGCTGTTTCCCTGTTTACGGTCAGTGATGGAGCAGAGGGTATACACAGGTATACAGGGTATATCCCCCTCTTTTACTGGCTGTTAACAGTATACCAGCCAAAAACCCATTGGAATATGAGGAAAGAATACCCACTTCCTTCTCAGTAATCTACCCATGTACCTTGTGGTACACCCACCTCATCAACTACCCCGACACCATTGTTTACAATCTTTGTGCTAAGCTAAGCCAACTGGCTGCTGGCTATTACTTTAATGTGCAACTTTAAGAGCGCATGGTATCAAGTTTCTTTTATACCTCTTCACCAGAAATATGGACCTATTCCTTTGGTCAATACTTTGCTCAATCAATGTATGTCACCAAAGTCAAGGAAAAGACCCTTCTTAAAAGGTCCAGTGTGTAGGATCTAGGGGGATATATTGGCAAATATGGAATATAATATTTTATGTGTGTTTCCTTTAGTGTATATTCACCTGAAAATAAGCATCATGTTTTTGTTGCCTTAGAATGAGCCATTTGTATATCTACACAGGGAGCAGGTCCTCGATAATGGAGATGCCCATCTTGCACCGCCGTGTTTTTACAGAAGCCCAGAACAGACAAACTAAACACTGGCTCTAGAAAGGGCCATTCACATTTTTATGTTCGCCACTGTAATTGGCAGCCCCTCTCGAATGAGAGCTTTGAAGAAACACTGCTTTCTTCAAAGTTTTTATGGGTTTAAATCCCCTGGTCAGTTTGTTTTGGAGACAAAGAACCACTGTGGATAATTAATCTCACATTAAAAACATCTCATACGACTGGATCAGATATAAGGTGAGCACACATTAAGTTATCAGAGAAAAAGAGTGAGCACACATTACCAGGTGCTGGGAAAGCGGGCTGTCTGCGACGTGCCAGAAGGGCAGGAGAAACAGATTTGTAATGTGAAACTGCTTTATTCAGTGTGTTTACCAGTTTAAATCACCTGGTATGTTTGTTTAGGAGAGATAGAGAGCTCGCTGATAATCAGGAGCCCGGTGAAAACCCTCTGAAAAATGGACACTGAACTGGGGGAAGTTTCACCAGGTTGCAACTTGCAACCCTTACAGCTAGATAGCTACCACTAAATCCCCCTAAATCTTACTCATGCAGTATGTTTTACATGTACGTGAATAACCTGTTCATTAAGGGGTTACTCGAGTATACTGTTAATGTGTTTGAGCATGTGTTTAAGCATGGTTATATGAGTATGACTTGAGCCTTGCTTATGACTTGTACATGTGTATTACTCCCATTCTGGGTAAACATCACTGCGCCGGCGCAAAAAAATACAGTTATCAGCGACTGGGATGCTAGTATATATCATGTATACAGAGAATAATGTGATCATAACCAGGGTGAGCCTCATAAACTGCTTATTCAGGTACATGTAAACGCACTTACTGTGCTTTATGTGTTCTCATGGCAGTGTGTTGTCAATGGGTGAAACAGCGCCCCCAGGCGGTGAAGGCTGGTAAATGTCATCCAGTGGGTGTGGTGGAGATGGGAAAACGCTCACAGCGCAGTCTGCGGAGGGGGAACAGGTGAGACTGGCATCCTTTAACTAAAACACTAGTAACAAACAATGAGCAGACAGTTCTCTAGAATAAGAAACTCTGAAAATAATTGCGGAGACACTTACAGTCACACTCTGGCCTCACAACATACATTGCAAAGTTAACCACAAGCTTATCCACGAGGAAACAACCGAGCGAGTCAACGTTCACGTTGGCTAGCTTGTTTTCAGTGTTGCTAATGCCGTATTAGCTAACAAACTGGTGTTTGTGGCGAGCTAGCAGCGACGGAGAAAGGAGACGGGGACTTCTGGCAACAAATGAATGACCGACACGGCAACAGTTGGGCAATTTACGGTATCAATACTTAAACTCCACGACAGAAAGGAGAGTGGACTTCGTCGTCAGGTAAGGTGACACACCTTCTGTTAGGGTTATCTGAGTGTCTGTGTCCCTGGTTTCTTTGCTAAAAGTCTCCGTGTCATAGTTATTTTCTCAATTGTTATATACTTTCTTTAATTAACATTCAAAGGTACTTGCAAGTATCATGATAGCCATGGTTTTATATCAAAAAAATGTAGAAAAATCTCAACTTTGCTTACAACAATCTGTCCTAGACGCTTTGTAAAGAGACAGTTTGGCCCTAAAGCTGAATACCTTGATATCATCAACTATTTAGTTCTTTTTTCATGTGGACAACTTGTTTTGGTGATTGAAATGAGTTACTCTAAGTGTTAAGTTCGTTAAAGTAGTGTAACATGAATAAAATACTAGATAAATGTATGACAATAAACTCGTCTGCCGCTTCACTTTAGACAAAGAGTGACGGTGACTAGGCTAAATGATAACTTAATACAGCATATCAAGCCTCATGGGACGTGTGCAAATTATATAACGTCATAGATGGATAAATAGATTAAAATACACACACAAAAAACCCCACACTTCAAAATAGGCTATTTGACCCGAGGCCTGTGCAATGAAGCACGATTTAGGGTTAGTGAAGCACCTTCAGGGTTAAAGGGGACCTATGCCATCCTTAACATTCACACGTTATTCCTATAACCTAAGACAGTCCAAAGACATTAGTGAGCATTAGGGCTGTCACTTTTTCAAAAAATCAAGGTCGAACGAATTTGTTCAAATAAAT